GGGAAACACAAGAGTCCTTGAGGACGCGCTGTGGATGCCAGTCTGAGTGCTCTCAACCTGGCGGCTTCGAGAAGAGAACACTATTCCTGGACATTGCCTTGGTGGTTGGAGCTCAAGAGCCCACAAGGTCCTAGAGCTTTTCTGAAGCTCTCTGAAGAATGCCAATATGTTGTCAGAAAGCCCTTAAACAAGAAGGGGACAGCCCAGGACCACAGTACCAAAGATTCAGGGTCTGGTTACTTCCAGTATCCTGAAACACGAATGCCGACAAATTACTTGGAAGAAACAACACACTAAGAAAAACAAGAAGGAGGCTACAAATACGCTAAACTCAAGAGAATGAAGGAATCCAGGCAGTGGTGACCTTTAATCCCAGCACCTAGGAGGCAGAAGCAGGAGGATCTCTGTGAGGCCAGCCCGGTCTACAGAGTGAGTTCCAGGACAGCCAGGACTACACAGAGAAATCCTGTAGTGAAGAAAGAGACCAAAGAGAGTGAGTGAGTGAGAGAGAGAGAATATGAATGAAGGAAGGCAAAGAAAAACGCCAGGAACAGATTGCCAAGAGACATAGGCTGTCCTCACTGGGACCTTCTACTTCTAACTCTGAGTCCAGGCAGACATAAGTCCTTAAGAACATATATTAAAAAGAGTAGCAAATAATGACCAGAACTTGGGTTAAAATAACAAGAACTGGATCAAGGGAAGAAGGGTTTCCAACTCTTCCTACTCAGACTGTTTTTGAAGCAAAATCTCCATACTTCCTAGACTCTCACCTCAATTTTTCCTCCTTCCTGCTTTTCCCTGCATCTTCTGAACCACACTCTCTGAAATATAGCAAGTTTTGCACAAATCTGTAGAACATTCTTTTGGCAATTTTTAATTTTATTTTACCTATTTTTTGTTTTGTTTTGAGGCAGGGTCTCTCTACATAGCTCTGGCTATCCTTGAACTCTCTATATAGGCCAGGTTGACCTCAAATTCAGAGCTTCTGAATTTGCCTCTGCTTCCCAAGCCTGGCTAAAACAGTCTTCAATACTTACTTGTCCTGTCCCTCCTTAACTCAAAGGTACTATTTCCTTAGTAGCTGGTTGTGAAAACAGGAATATGACTAAATCCACCCACATCAAAATTAAAGCAGATGGGGCTGGAGAGAGGGCTCAGTGGTTAACAGTTCTTTCCAAAGACCCACACGGGGCAGCTCACAACCACTAGGGTAACCACTGTTAGAGGCACCAGGCATGCATACGTGGAGCAAACATGTATGGAGGCAAAACACTCATAAACATAAAAATAAATTTAAAAATTTAAAAATCAAAATAAGATTAGTTCTAGCCATTCCCATGTATGTATGTATAGAGATGAGAGAGAGAGACATATACTTTTATACAGAGATTGTCTATGCTCATTTCTATGTATTTTAAAGGTAAATAAACTTAACTACAGTAATTTCACAGAGATGAGGGGATCCCTAGAAGTCCACTACATTAATCAGGCAAGTTGATTCAGACCATCATTTCCCAGGGACTGATTATGAAAGGTGGTACACAACTTTAATCCCAGCACTAGGAAGACAAAGGCAGGTAATCTCTGGGAGTTCAAGGCCAGCCCAGTGAGTTCTAGAAGCCCCCAGGTCTACATAGCAAGTTCCAGGATGGCCAGTGCTACATAAGACAGACCCTGTCTCAAAAACAAAACACAAACAAAAACAAACAAAAACTAACCAGGGGTCAGTTCCCCCAAACCTGTAAGTTTTCATTGCCACCTACTTCAAGGCATTTTTGTTTAGGGTGATCTTCTTTGTACCAGGGTTTCGCTAGGTAGCCCTGGCTGACCTGAAACTAAGAGCACCAGGGCCAAAATTACAGGCATGTTCTACCAAGCCCAGTTTACAGAGTACCTTTCTCAACATGAAGTACAAAAACTGCGGGGAGCAGAGAGGGAGCATCTACTGGGCACGTGGGGGACAACCAGGAAGAGATCAACGTTTATACTTTCAGAGTCATGTTCAATAGGTGAGTCAACGCAAAAACACAAAGAGGACATGTGCTGATGCCATCAGCTGATTTCTAATAAAGGTATAAGAACAATTGAAGATTATTTGCTTTTTAACTTATAGGTTGGACCAGGAGGTGGTGGTGAATGCCTTTAATCCCAGCACTCGGGAGACACAGACAGGCGGATCTCTGTGAGTTCAAGACCAGCCTGGTCTACAAGAGCTAGCCCCAGCTGGGCGTTGGTGGCGCACGTCTTTAACCCCAGCACTCGGGAGGCAGAGACAGGCGGATCTCTGTGAGTTCGAGGCCGGGCTGGTCTACAGAGCTAGTTCCAGGACAGCCTCCAAAACAATACAGAGAAACCCTGTCTCGAAAAACCAAAAAAAAAAAAAAAAAAAAAAAAAAGAGCTAGCCCCAGGGCAGCCTCCAATGCCACAGAGAAACCCTGTCTCGAACCCCCCCAAAAGAAAACCCAAAATAATAATAATGACAATAATAACAATGTTATAGGCTGAAGAGAGGGGGATTAGGCTGTCCCTTCATCCTTTCCATCTCCTGCTTTCCATTATCTCCTTGGCAATCTCCACCTTCTTTGCTAGAGAGCTCCTGAAATTGGATAGGATATGTCGACATTAGCAGATTCCTTGCATGACCAAACTATTCAGTTTCCTGAGTCTTCCATGTCTCACAAACTTCATCTTTAGCAAAGAGTCTTGACTAGCCAGTTTAATTAGAACACCCTCCCCAGGTGTGTGTTGGAGGTGGGCCTGCGTGCTTCACCACAGGGCCCCAGAGCCCAGGCTCATCTTCAGCAGGAATCATCATCAGATTAAAATACTTACCCAGAATCCTGCTGGGTGGAGATGCTTCCTCTTACTACTTTCCTATCCATGGCCCCTGACCTTGCTCTTTGCCCATAAATCCCTGTTTAGCCACACCCCTTTCATAGCCACAATCCTTTCAAGACTAAACCCAATTTGTGTCCCTAGGGCCAAACCCATTCTCCCAAATGACCCTTACTTTGCTACAATGGCCTTGAATACAGTTCTTCACCACACAGCCAGTTTCATTAAATAGGTTTTTCTTTAGCAGCAATTAGATCAACGGAAAAAGGAACTTGAGATGTTCTAGAACAGAGAAACATCATCTCATCTACTAATTTTTTGAAAGACAAGAGGCTGGATTTGTACGCACTCAACAATCAGCCATGCGGAAAGCCTAGTCGCATTCATTCCATTCCAGGAGGCTTTAATCTCAGTCAGCACAATGTTTTTCACGGGCATGCCAGTGGACACCTGTTATCCTGGTCCTTGGGAAACAGAGGTAGGAGGATTGCTGCCAGGCCAGCTTGGTCTACACAGTGTGTTCCAGGTCAGCCAGGGCTACACAGCGAGAGACTTTATCTCAAAAAGCAAACAAATTATCTAGCATTCACATGTATCATAACTGCAATACAAACTATACAAACTGAAAGGGGGAAAACCTTTTGCTTTATAGAGATGCACATGAAAATCTGCTTGAGCATTCAGCATAAATTACTTGCAGTTAATGATAAGTGAAACTTTTCAAGGATTAGGAAAGCAGCAACTAAAATCTCATCAGGATCCTAGTACATACCACCTGTGGTTTTTCTCAAGCAAGCCGGAAAAAAAAAACCTACAAATGAAAACAGACAATAAAATGCCCAAGAATGACCAGGTAAAGGGCATTCTGAAATATTCAAATACCACTTGGTCAATTTTTACCCAAGTTTGACCAGTACCAGTCTAAAATTGAGATTTTTTTCGTATACATGAATAGTACAACTCAACTACAACCACAACCACAACAAAACAACAAAGAGCAAAAACAGGAGCAAAGGATCTCATTAGACATTTCTCCAAAACAGACACACACTTGGCCAATAAGCATAGGAAAGACTGTTTTTATCCCTGACCTGAAACACAAATTAAAACCACAAAGAGATATCAAGTCACACCCACTAGGGTGGCTAAAAAAGCAGTAAAAAAATAGCAATAAAATGACAAGTGTTGGCGATTTAAGGACATTGCAACTGGCATATACTGTTTGGTGAGTTTAAAACGCAGCAATTTTGATTAAAGCCTAAAAGTTTCTTTAAAAAGTTAAGCACTGAGCAAATTCATACCTAAGCATGCGTTCAGGTGCATTAAAAAGGAACATCCACAAATGTTCCAGCCGCATTAATTATAGACAATGGCTAAAAAGTGAAAACCAATGCAATTTCATTAACTAGTGACCACATCCAAGCAGTCATTCAGCTATAGGAAAGTACGAACAGACACCCACGAGCTACAACATGACTGAGTTTTAAAAGCATGTGTCTAAATGAAGGACGTCAAACAAAAAGACACACACACACTTTAGCTGGCTGGGGCAAAAGCTTGTGATCTCACCACTTGAGAAGTTGAGGCAAGAGGACCATGAATTCAGACTAGACTGAACTATATAGCGAGACTGCTTCCCTAAGGTAAGAGGCAAAATCTTGTGTTTAAACGGAGGAGGTGGGGAATCACAAATACTGTATGATTTCATTGGTGTCCACAAAGGGCAAGTGCATAGGAATGGAAAGATTAGTGGCAGCCAGTGGGTTGGCACCGTGGGGGAATGCGCAGCATCTAACAGGTACGGGGATTCTTTTGGAGGTTACAAGAAAAAAATGATCTGGATAGTGGTGACAGTTGCAAAACTAGATGAATATACGAAAAGCCACATTCTGGAGGCTAAGTAGCACGTACGCCAGCTGATGTATCAATCAAACGTCCATTTACAAAAAGAGGACACAGGTATAATATGCCTAAGAATACAACATGTAAGTAACACATACACACTCTCGCCAGTTCTCGCCGCAAATGGACACCGAGCCTTCTTAAATTGAGACATATTGTACACTCACATAGCCAAGAGCGGGGTGGCGACGCGGCTGAGCCCCAAGCAGGCTCCCGGGGCGAGCGCAGCCCGCCTCCCCGCATCCGCATCTGAGCTCACCTGCCTGCATCCCTCGGCGCGCGCCCCTGGTCGCCGTGGCCTCCGGAGGGGCGCGGAGCTCGAGGGCAGCGGCGGGCAGGGCTGGGCAGCGGCGGGCGGCCTCCGGTCCCGCCGGCCTCGGCTCCAGCGCCCGGCAGCACCGCCGCCCTCCGACACCTAGCCACCCCGGAGCCGCCGCTCCCTCCGCGGCCGCCCCGGCCGAGCCCCAGCGCGGCGACGCCCCCGGAGTCAGTCCGCCCGGCCCAGCCCCGCGGGCCCGCCGCGCCTCCCCGCCGCCGCTGACAGCCACCCGACGCCCGCGGCCACTCGCGCGCCCCGCCCCGCCCCGCGCACGCGCACGCGCGCAGCCGGCCGAGCCCGCCGAACGCCGCTGATGTGGCCGCCCGGGCGGCTACCCGGATCCGCGGCCGCGCCCCGGCAGCCGCTCGCCGGCTCGCCCGCCCGCCCGCCCGCCCGCTCCGGCTCCCGTTGGCAGCGTTAGCTCAGGCTGCCCCGCGCATCCTCCGCGCCGCATCCCAGCCCGCGCATCCTCGGCTCACCGCTCCGTGGGTTCGGGGCCTCTGCGGGGTCCGGCTTGCGTTCCCTGCGGATCAGAATGCGACCGAGATTCAACCGAGGACGTGGGAGTCGTTGCGAGCTTCTCGGAGGCCAAAGGACGGGGAGGAGACGTGCGGGCAGCGTCACGCCCTCCTAGCGCCTGGCAGGGTCAGAGCCAAGTGCACGAGCGCTGCCCAGCCAAGCCTTTCGGTTTGCCCACGCTCGAGTTTGGTAGTCGAGCTAGACTTGAGCCGGAATTTGCCAAGGAAAACCGGGAGCTGCTTTGATGACTATTTGTTAGGTACCTATTATATGCGATCCTGCTAGTGGAACTCCGCCCCACCCCACAAAGGTGTGAGCCCTAGGGCCCTGGCTCCAGGGGAAAGCTGCTCCATTTGATCCTGAGGCTATGCTACTGCCTCAAACAAAAGCTTTCACCGGACTGAGACAGGGGTGCTCTAGCGGCTTTTTAGGTGGACACTGGACTATTTATCCTTGTTTTTCTTCTGTGTTACAGTCAGACCTTGAACTTAACTTTGACCCGTAAGGGAGCTTCTGAATGACTCTTGACCCTCTGCGCGCACACGGGCACGCACACACACACACACACAGTTGGGTATGGTGGCACCTGCCTTTAATCCCAGAGGCAGGTGGCTCTCAGTGAGGTCAAGACCAGCCTTCTCTATTTAGCAGGTTCCAGAAAAGCCAAGGTTACATAGTGAGACCTTGTCTAAAAAAAAGAAAAAAAGAAAAAGAAGCCGGGCGTCGGTGGCGCATGCCTTTAATCCCAGCACTCAGGAGGCAGAGGCAGGCGGATCTCTGTGATTTCGAGACCAGCCTGGACTATCGAGCGAGTTCCAAGTCAGCCTCCAAAGCCACAGAGAAGCCCTGTCTCGAAAAAAAAAAAAAAACACACAGCTGGGCAGTGTTGTTGCACACCTTTATTCCCAGTTCTCAGGAAGCAGAGGTAGGCAGATCTCTGTGAGTTCGAGGCCGACCTGATCTCCCAAGACAGGTTCCAAGGCTACAGAGAAATTCTGTCTAGAAAAAACAAAGTCTCCGTGCAGTCCAGACTGTTTGTTTTTGGGGGGGAGGGTTGTTTGTTTGTTTGTTTTTCTTGAGTCAGTCTCCATGTGTAGTATGTAGCTCTGACTGGCCTGGAAATTGATATGTAGACCAAGCTGCCCTTGAACTCACAGTGATCTGCCTGCCTCAGCCTCTCAATGCTGAGACTAAAGGCAGAAACCACCATTCTCCAACCTGGCCTCAAACGCTTACCCCTCCTGTTCTGGAATTACAAGTTGTAGCGTTGTGCCCAGATCTAGCACACCTTCTTTTCTTTTCTTTTTTTTTAAATATTTTATTTATTTATGTATTGTGTATACAGTCTTCTGCCTGCATGCCAGCAGAGGGCACCAGATCTCATTCAAGGTGGTTATGAGCCACCATGTGGTTGCTAGGAATTGAACTCAGGACCTCTGGAAGAACAGTCAGTGCTCTTGATCGCTGAGCCATCTCTCCAGCCCCCTCTAGCACACCTTCTAAAGGATTTTAAAGTGGTGGTGGTGGTGGGCTAAGACTGGAAAGAGGATTAACAGTTAAAAACTGGTACTGCTCTTACCGAGGACACAGGTTCAGTTCCTAGTGCCCATCTTCACAACCCTCCACCAATACATACCTGAAACTCCAGTTCCACTGGACCCAAAGCCCTCTCCTGGCTTCCAAGGGCATCTGTCTCATGAGCACACACACACACACACACACACATACAAATTTAAAATAAAGTTTGAGTCTTTGGAGGATTTTAAAACACCTTTAAGAATAGGAGCCTTGCTATGAAGAATATAGGCGCTGAATAAAGTTACAGGAAGTCATTATTTTGGTTTAGGGTTCTGTACTAAACCCCAAAATGGAGTCACTTTTACCAGTAACTGAAACTGTTTTGTTTCATTTTCCCAGAAACAGCTGTTGTTTCCCTGTCTCTGTCTTACAAAGGAAGGGACTTTTAAATGACCAGTCTGGTCCCGGGCTTCTGGTTCCCACTTTCTTCAGCCCCTTTGTGTCTGCGAAAAGAACCCTCTATCCCACTGCGATGCTCACTCTATTTTGTGGAATGAAGTATGGTCCACTTTTACAATCAGAAGACAAAGCCATTTAAAGCCCTTAAACCACAGTCAGCGACGCCATGGCATTTCCAGATGTCTGTGTTTTAACTACTGTCCTAATTTAGTATTTTGTTGCTGTGGAGAGACACCATGACCACGAAAACTTTTTTTTTAAGACAGGGTTTCCCTGTGTAACATCCCTGACTGCCCAAACCCACAGAGATACTCCTGCCTTTGCTTTCCTGTGCTGGATAAAGGTGTGTGCCACCACCCCTGTCGAGGGTACTTCTTTTAAAGGAAAACACTTAAATGAGGCTGCTAACTGTTCAGAGGTTCAGCCCATTACCGCTGTGGTGAGAGGTAGGTATGTGGGCCGATAACGATGCTGAAGAAAGAGCTGAGATTTCCACATCCACTTCCGGATGGCAGTGGGCGTGGCATGAGCGTCTGAGACCTCAAAGCCTGGCCCCACTGACGCACTTCCTCCCACAAGACCTCACCCACTCCAACAAGGCCACACCCCCTAATGGTGCCACTCCCTACAGGCCTGTAGAGACCCTTTTTCAAACCACCACAACTACATCTTACTAGAAGGTAATTAGCTGCTCAAAATGTGTCAAAGTTAACAGGTAAGTGTGTCTCCCTGGCTCATGGAGTCTCTTAAAGTATCCACTCACAAACACCCGTAGGGATCACACCAGTGGTGGAGCACTCCTTTAATCCCAGCACTAGGAGGCAGCGGCAGGCAAATCTCTGTGAGCTCAAGCCCAGCCTGGGTCTACAGCCTGAGTTCCAGGACATACATCCAGGGCTACACAGAGAAACCCTGTCTCCAAAAACAACCAAACAAAAACACGCATTGGAAGTCAATATCTACCATTTTTCCTGAGAAAGCTGGAGGTCTCAAGTGCTCCCCATCTCAATCCGTTGGCTGTGGAAGGCAGTTTCTGCTTATACTCTTCATTCTGTATGCCACGGTATAGTGTGGATTTTTAATATAAAACCAACAACAACAACAAATGTGCTGATCTTCAACTTGGAACTCAAATGGAAATTCAGTTTTCATCCTGAAAATAACTCATTGAACTCTGGTGAAGAAGCAGTCCCTGCCCCCCCCCCCATCACCACCACAGGTCTCGGCGCAGGCAGGCACATTCACATTTCATCTTTTGTCTAACTGCTGGCAACCTTGTATGTGAAGCAAGCAGCTTAGAGCTGGTGTTCAGCAGTGATGATGGACCAGGCCAAAGGGGCCTGTCTCCTGTGAGGCAAGAAAGCTTTCCCTGGAAGAAAGGGCGTTTAATCTGAACCCAGGGGATGAAAAGTTGGACAGACAACAAAGATCCAAATATGAGTTACTGTGACATAGGGAACACGGATCCATTACCTTAAATGGCATGTTCCACCCTGGAAGAGGTTACATAAACGTCTGTAGTCAGCAAGGAACGGAAATCCACAAAGCAATGCATTTGCTGATAACTGTGGCGCGTCAGAGAGGAGGGTTCCAGCACAGGAAGCGCTTCCCTTTGGATGTTACCTCAGCACTCTCAGGTATGGAGTTTCCAGGAGGCCAGAAGTCAGCTAAGCTCTGTAGTAGATCCTGAGAAGTTTGTGTACACACACAGACACACGTGTGTACATTCACAGTGACATACAGATCTCATTTGGAGAATTTGTCCTGTTCTGGTTTATGTTAACATAATCTCAAATTTCATTCATCTTCCTACAAATGTCATGATTAAATTTTTTTTTTTTGGTTTTTCGAGACAGGTTTTCTCTGTATTGTTTTGGAGGCTCTGCTGGAGCTCACTCTGTAGACCAGGATGACCTCGAACTCACAGAGCTCCGCCTGCCTCTGCCTGGGATTAAAGGTGTGCACCACCAACGCCCAGCATGATTAAATTCTTTAAAAAAAGTTGTGTGGTGTGTTTGTGTGTGTGTGTGTGTGTGTGTGTGTGTGTGTGTGTGTGTGATCCCCTGGAACTGGAGTTACAAACAGCTGTGACCTGTCATATGGGTGCTAGGAGTTGAACCCAGATCATCTGGAAACTGCTGAACTATCTCCCCAATTTAAGTTTTCCTATAGTTATGTATTATGTGTATACAAACACATGTACATGTGTGTCCATGTATGAACATCTGATCTTTGACAAAGAAGCTAAAACTATACAATGGAAAAAAGAAAGCATCTTCAACAAATGGTGCTGGCATAATTGGAGACTGGCATGTAGAAGACTGCAGATAGATCCATGTTTATCGCCATGCACAAAACTTAAGTCCAAATGGATCAAAGACCTCAACATAAATCCAGCCACACTGAACCTCTTAGAAGAGAAAGTGGGTGGTACCCTTGAGCGAATTGGTACAGGAGACAGCTTCCTGAACATAACACCAGTAGCACAGACAGTGAGATCAACAATTAATAAATGGGACCTACTGAAACTGAGAAGCTTCTGTAAGGCAAAGGACACAGTCAGCAAGACAAAAAGGCAGCCCACAGAATGGGAAAAGATATTCACTAATCCCACATCTGACAGAAGGTTGATCTCCAAAATTTACAAAGAA